TGGCGTTCAGGAATTCCACTTTTGTTAGAGGATTTATGTTCACTTGTAGTTCAGTGGCTGTAGGTGGCATTTCTGGACGAAGCGCAGGTGGTGGTGGTCGATTCAAGAGCATTTTGAAGTGGTCAGACCATCGTTTCCTTTGTTTCTCTTCGTTCGTAATTAAATGTCCTTCATCATCTTTTATTGGTTTCATCTGTGTTGATATCTTCCATACCAGATAATAACCTGGTTATTTGATACAATGTTGTCAGGTCTCTCCTGCCTGCAGCCTGTTCTGCTTCAATTGCCAGTGTGTCGTGGAAGTGTCTTTTGTGTTTCCACGCACTCTTCTTCATTTCTTTGTCCAGTGTTTGTACTCAGTTCCCATTTTCGTTGTGCATCCTTGCATTAATTTATCTTCTGTTTCTATTCTCCCTACTCTATCAGCTTCCATGTGTCAATCGAGATCAATTCCTTATCTCCTTTCTTCTTCCTTCCTAATACGGTTATACAGGTTTCTTTCTATATGGCTTTCAAAGACTTTCTGTGTTCTTCCACACAGGCATCTTCAGAGATATTGCTCGATATCTCCCATTTTGTCTTGATGGCTGATGCGAAGATGTTCTTTGTAGTTTCGTGCTTCAGTTTCTGCTCCGGGTGTTGAACTTGAACTGTGGCCTATCACCAACCTCCTTGAAGGCTTTCAACTTGATTTTGAAGGTAGGTTCCTTGCACTAGATAGTGTGTGGTCTGAATCTACATCTGCTCCTCTTCTTGACTTTGTGTCAAGTAGGCTGGCTGCATCTCCACTTTCTTTACATTGAATGAAGTCGATCTGATTTTTAGTGGGTGGTGGTGTCTGGTGAAATCCATGTCGCTCACTTTGTGGATATCATTGTGCTTGAACTCACTGCCTGACTCCAATCACCAAATCGCTGAATGCACAGAATTCTACAAACAATTCTCCATTCTCGTTCATCACCCCACCTAGCGCTTCTTGGCCCATGGTTATTTCTCCTCCTATGTTGTCCCCTCCCAGTTTCGCATTCATGTCAACCCGCCAATTAGAATTTTGATGTCACCAACTGAGGTCTTGTCCAGTGTTGATTGAAACTGTCTGTAGAATTGTTCCTTCTTCTCTTGCTCTGAATAATTTGTAGGTGTGTGGTGAAGCATTCAATGATTGTGACCTTCCTTCCTTCCTTCCTTTTGAGTTGAACTTTGCTGTCATGATCCTGATCGTTGAGGAGATTTGTTCCCACTGCATGAGAGCCTTCGATGCTGTTGGGGACATCATGATAGCCACTCGAGAACTCAGTGTGCTATTCTCGTGGTTGTCGTCTGGGTGACGATATCGGGGTAGACTATTGATTCTGCAGTTGACAGTTTGGAGAGTCCACTCCCACTCCATCTGCTTTCGTAAATTCCTAGCACTTCAATGCGATACCTTCTCATCTCGTTTGCAGTGTGGACAGCCTTGCTGGGTTCAAACATGGTGCGGACATTCCATGTCCCCACGTTTACTTTCGCTTTCATCTAGGGAGAGAAGACATATCGGCCCGGCTAATTGGCTTCCCGAAGGCCTTTACCAACCGGCATCATTTCGCCTCTCCGATTTCAGCGAGGAGTAATATTGTTATTATTTTTTACATTTCGTTTGTGCTTTGAAGTTTCTGTAGCGGTTGGATTTGTTTTAGGGTGTAGGGTTGCTGGCCGTATGCCCAACCTTCCCTCTTTACCCATGCTGAGGACCGGCTAGTAACTAGTGAACTCGTTAACCAGGCGAGGTTAACAAGGGGAAATTACAAGTATCAATAAATAATAAAACAGCCCTTTTTCGAAATTAAGTCTGAAAATTATGTTACTCCTAATGAACCTTTAGTCTGACGGAAAATAATGTTGGTCATTTGTAACTTGTAGCTGAAGCAAATGCTTTATATTTGACTATCTACGTTTTGTGGAATGAATTTTGGATCCTATTTTCGAAGGACTAGGGGAAAAAATTCAAATAACCTTAAAATGTATACAAGAGCTTTTTTGCATTCCACTGAACAACGCGGAGTCTTATTTGTTCCTTTCGGGCCAGACAAGACCAGATCACAGTACTGGACACGATGGTGAAATGGGTACAAACAAAAGTCTGACTAATTCAGGTAACCTCCTTTATTTCAAGGAAGAAAACTATAGAAAGTGAACAAAATCTTCACTAAAAATGTCACCAACAATCAAAACTTAAGATGATTTAGTGAAAACCTTTAATGTTCGTAGGAGAAATAAGTGTAAAGTTTGTTTCTGGCATAGTTAGTTGAATCCAAGACGTGTGTTTTGTCCTACTTAGAACTCGTCAGTTGCGTGTACCTGCACTCCAGTGAGTTGTTCCTACGGAATTTCGAACCCAGTATCTATTGTTTCAAATGGCATAAAGTTAGCCACCAGGCCACTGTGTCATGATAGCCACCTCTTGTGCAATGAATATAAGTTGATGTTTTGGTACTTGCAATTCCTCGTCACTATACAGAGCTGATTTGCTCAACCCCTTTTGGTAAATAGGTTCTTTAAAGTTTTAACTCATTTTAAATGTTAACTGAACCATAAAAAAATCAAGATTGAGTAGCTTTGTGATCATTTTGAAGCAAAAAGACTTTAGAGCTTCAAAATTAATTTTGTATTTATTTGTTAGAAAAATTGCCCATAGTGTTGGAGGAGCACAATCATAATCCGGAGGTAAATATGAAATTTCTAGGTATAATAAAGAATTAAAAATTCCGACATACAGATAATAACATGTTGAGGCAGTTTACACAGTAATAATCATCTTGTATGTATCGTATGTAGATGTCACGTATTTATTCTGCACGTTGTGTTCAGTTAACTGTATTTCGTCTCGTGAAAGTATTTCTAATATATTGAATAAACTTATGAAAGGGTAGGAAACACAAAAGAGTGATAAAGTTTTTTCTTCATGTTTTCATACTAAAAAGAGTTTCATGGTCGGCTCTAACTTCGATTGTAAGTTTTTGGTTAGTGACAGAAAAAAACTATATCTTTGAGATAATGAGCGGAAAATGAATGATTTAAACTATTTAATTTAATACAACCAGTTAAGCTACTCAGGATCCCAGTAGTTGGTTACTGCCACTGCCGTTAAACTTGCCAGCTGAATAACCCAAGTTTGTTCATTGTGTTTGCCGTTTTTCTAATACTGTATTATAGTTTAGCAGTAAAAACTGCCTGACTAACAAATGGAACTTAAAATCGTGTTAATTTCTCAACTTATTTTATAGTTTGTTTATTCAAGTAGGTGAAATCTGACTGTAACTGATAGGGTTTTTCAAGCAGCTGAATAAAAATATGTTACCGAAAAGAGAAGTATAACTTACTTGATTGTAGCTAGTGGGGCAATCCAAGACGAACATTTTACCCTATTTAGGACTCGTCAGATAGAGTCAGCTGCATAGGTACCCTAGTGAGTAATGTTCTTCCCATCCAGATCTAAACCTAGTACCCATTGCTTCAAACGCCAAAATGCTATCCACCAGACCATCCATTTGATTTGATCTCTACTTACCTATAATACCATCTGTTTCGGTACTGAAATGATTTTACACTGTACCTTCCTTTGACTATTATATTCCACCTATTCTCAAGGATTTATAGCTGTAGAGCCTGAAGAGGAAGCTGTTGGATATAACTGTTCACTAAGATTATTTTTGTTCTATACAAAGAAAGAGTGAGTGAAATTTCGCGACTCAGTATTAAATACAGTGGATGGCTATGGTAAACTTGTGCATAATGCTGAAGAAAATGTTTTCATTTCTTGGCTGTTTTGAAACAACGTTCAATAAATGTTCATGGTCTTCACTCAGTGAGTTGAAACAGACGATCTACTAATCCAAAATCTGTTTACGAAGGACATGTTGGCATTTAAAGAATTTAAAAGTTCTCTTATAGAAAGGATTTGCTCCTCTTTGATTCACTGTGTTAGTTTATCCATATCGTCAAAATCGTTATCAATTATTTCACTTGACAATTTATTTTGAAGTATTATTCATCACTAGTTGACATCAACTGAAGAACCACTGAAAATCTGGGAGTCCTAGACGGTTATTTCGTCCTAGTATAGGACTCCTTAGAGGTGCAAGTGCATGACTCCATCAGACATAGAATCCTGTCAGGGTTGTGGTTGAGTACTGCTAAGGGGTCCCTTACTAAGACACATCAGCTGTCCAGTACTCTCATGTGTCCAATGGTTCTCCGAATGATGCCAGTCGGTAAAGAATACTACCTTAAAATCAGCAAAGTTACATAAACCTCAAAAGTGAAATTATGCTAACGTTCATTCTCCAGGTAACTGGATCTTTACCCCAAATATTTCTTATTTGAATTTTAATATAAATGACTCGTTAGTTATGTGTTGAATCAAGTTGATGAAAGAAAAGACTGCCTTTTACTTACTTTAAAAATAATTAAAGTTAAATTGTTAAGAAAAGATGAATAGTAATCAGCTTTCTGCCAATTCTTCTGTGGTGCTAAATCACTATTCTTTATAGAACAGTAGATCAAATTGACTTACCCCTATATACGGCGCTTTTGGGGCAACCGATGAACCATACAAATTTGTTCAGTTTCTCAGAAATACACTCATCGGCATTTCAATCTGATCGGGTAAACAGAATAGACATAAGTTTAGAACATCTTTATGAATTAGCCTTCAAGTCTCCAATTTCTTGCAGAACGTTTCAAATACCCTGTTTCAACTCCTGTCTTGATGTAAATCTTTCTATTTGTGATTAATTACATAAAGAATCCAAGTAAGTGTCATATCTATTGTAATAGGGATTGCAGGGAATACATAAACACTAGACACTGTCTATGATGAATTCCTTGATCGATTTTAGAATCTTTTACCAACCCTTTATTTACATATACAATACGCTTGTATAATAATAGCATGCTTTGTTATACACACAATGGTTGGTTTTTACGAACCGCTGTATTTCTTTTTGTGATATTTTAAAAAGTCTTCGTTTGTGTTTTCACAATGGAGTTAAATGCCAGTCCTCGTGGTCGTTTGAGAACAGAATTACCAGAAGGGTTGTTAAATCCAGACTTATCCGATGATTATTATTCATACTAGTAAGTTGGTTTCTCAATTTGATTAATTTTGTACTCTGAAATATATTGAATCGCAGTATACAGTTAATTTTTTCTGGTCCTGATGAAGTCCAGTTTTCTTTTCAGTTCTTTTGTCATCCACAATCTTTAACATTCATAAAAAGTAACATTTTTCGACGACTGTTTTCATGGAAGGCTATAGACCGAAAGCAGCGATAAATTTCACTCTTTTCTGTTAAATGGTTATCAGCTTCCCTCCAATTTTATTTTGATACACAGAGAATATTAAGAAAAATATCAGTAATAGCTCAGTTACAGTCTTCATTTCAGTGCTGACTTCCTAAACTACTTATGCCAATAACAACAATGATAATAATGATGAAGAGATCATATGGAAGACATTTAGAATCTTTATAATGTTACCATATCAAGAAGGAAGGAAGAATCCCAATAAGCACTTCCTAATAAGATCAGAATTAGTGAGGCCTTTCCAAACCAATCGAGCAAAACAGCATGATCTACTGAATTTTATATAGTGACTATGTGGTCAAATGCATAAGCCAAACTCATCAAATAGACACGCAAGATCCAAAAACTTAGGTAAGTTGAGAATGGCAAGCCATCGGAAGACAATTAATCTAGAATCAAACTCAGCTATCGTTATTCACACTGTTACTGACAGTCACGTATACCGTAGGATGAAGTGACCACTGTGCCAAATTACTTCGGTGGGTTGAAATAAACACTGATAAGAGAAGGTACATTTATCGAATCACCTGCTCACATGAGTGACAGGAATGATGCAAAACAAACCCCAGATATAAGGAAAATATTAGTATTAATTGAATCAAAGAATAAAAAATAACAGAACTATACAACTAAATCCGAAAGTTGCGTAGTTAACCCAATATTCTGAGGACTAAAATGGAACTAAGCAGTACAGCAATGTTTAAATGCTACTCCTATAGAAAAGATAAAACTAGCTCATGAATTGTTGTACAAAGTTAAGGTTAGTATGAAGGTTACTAGCTAAAAGAAACCCAGTGTATGGGATACGAAATGGAAGAATGTCAGTTTCAACTACCTGAAAAGCTGTGAGTGATTAGACATTGGATGTCCCAGAACGGGGTGCAGTGCCTTTCTGATATGAGATGAACTTCACTGTCTCGACCTTTTAATTACCATAATCAACTGATTAGGTCAGCAGCTAAATGATAAAATTAACATGAAATATATTTTATTAAGTTAAATTATTAGAACACATTAATTGAGTGGATAAAATCACTAATTGCTAGTATAACAGAGATTATTTCCCAAGGATTTATTGACGTAATATTTGTTCTCACCAAAGGTAGAAATTATGCATGACACTAGCAAGGTTAGAAAATGAATTTTGCTCAAAATTTACGTGCAATTTATCAAAAATAATGGTATCATGCACATTAGCTACATCACTTTATATTTCATTGATATTTCAGTAAGAAGCTGTCGAAATCAGCAGTTATCAAATTACAATCTTATTTCAACTTCAATAAAATATCAGAAAGACATGAATTTATCAACAAATTTCAAATTATTGGATCAAACCTGTATTTACCATAGGCATCTATGTGAAAGTTAAGTTCACCTAAACTCCTGCTTCTTAATCCTGTGTAAAAATAATCCTCAAGTGGTCGGAATAATTGAAAAGACTTTGATTCTTATAGGTTAAACCTCAAATTTTCCTATGCATATGTGGATATTATAAAATGAACACTATGAACACTCATTTTTCTTAATTTTTCGTCATTATTCCATCTCAAGATACTACTGTTTAACAGCATGAGTAATTAGAAGCCGCTCAGGCATACCACTTATGAGCTAAGCCCAAACAAGCGAAACGGCTATCTGATAATTAGGTCACTCTGATCTAGCTGGAGAAATACTACTGATAAGTCTAGTTAGTCAAGTCGTTCAATAGAAGTATCTTTCGCTAATTCATGATACTTTTGTATCAGAAGTCACACCCAGTGATCTTGCCTGAGTGGTTTCCAGCGGGAACTCAGTTGATATCACAGTTGGGTAGTTGGAAAACTACTCAGCTCTGAAAAATGTCATCGTGGATAGTGAAGTTTTTAAATCATTTTCGAATTTATTATTTCAGCGTTACTTTAAAAAGGAATTACGACTTTCTTTAAATTTGTGTAGAGATTGTTGGGAAAAACTGAAATACAAATAGAGGAATATGCTATCAAATAAAGTCAACTCTACGTTGGTTGGTTACTGGAGGGTAACCAATTCTGATGTTATCTAGTCTTGACTGCTGACTGATTTCTACCGATAGTTTCGCAGTGTAGCCACCACGTTAATAGACTCCCCGTCGCACTGCATTTTGATACATAACTCTTAGTTTCGAGGAAAGTTCATAAAACTTGCAATGGTCACTTTTAGATGTTTTATTACGAAAATAATGAAATAATAATGTCGATAGCTAAATGGTTAACACGTTTGCCTTGAAACGTGAAGGTCCTAAGTTCGACCCCTAGCCGGATCGTGGGTGAGTACTACTTAGGACTCCCATACTAAGATGAAACAGCTATCTAATACTTCCAGGTTAACAATGGTTCTTCAAATGACGTCAGTACGTGATGAATACTACCTTGAAATATTTAAAAGTCAAAAATCCACTGGAAGTGAAACGGTATGGTGACTGATTTTGAAAAGTATCCTTGTTAATTAGGCATTTCTCTAACTGTAGCTTTTCTGGCACAGTAAAAAAATCAAATATTTTAAATCTCTTGTGAAGAAGATAAAACGCAACTTTAGTATTTATCATCAGTTACTGGCAAGTTTAATCTTTAGGCTTAAATAAATATAAAGCCAACATGCGAGCAACTGAGAGAGCGACGTTGGTTATCATAAATACAGTTACACATTTATCAAATTCAACTGAATAGAGGAATTTCTCGTAATCACTAATTCATTTTACACTGCAAACAGATATAAATTCAAACCAGTTCACTCTGTTACTCACCTTGTGACTTGCGAATACACTTTACAGTATGTAGCTGCAAACCCATACTAAATTTTGAATAAGTTCATTTACTACAAACGTTTAACTGATACAGAATTAGTAAACACCTCAAAGTTGTTGGAATGCCTTTATCAGCCGATAGTAACTAAAATAATCAGAGTTTCAAAAGTTTTAGTTAGAAGACGTAAATAAATCTATTTTGCTTCCAAGTGACCTTGAAATCAAACTATAACCATGTATATATCAAAGCCTAAATGTTTTTATATTTCAGTCCTCCAGGTACATATACTCCCAGCTATTGGAGAACAAAAGAAAAGCGTTGGTTTCCTATCAAAGAATACCGTGGTGGACTCATGGAAGTCTAATTGAGTTCCTGTTGTATGAATCAATTCACTTGCAAAAGTTCTTTTATTCGCTCACATGTTGAGTACTTATTCATATGCGTTGAATAAAATGATTTTATCTTACAGTTTTCCTCTCAGTACATTCCAAAACAATAGGACAGAATCCAAGAAAGCCTTTTAATGCATCATATTTTAAAGTTTTTGAATGAGGGAATTCTAGAGTCAATATCAATTAGGCTGTTGGAAAGCAATGGTAGCTTTGATAATTTTCGAATAGCCAACACGTTATACGGACAGAAGGAACAAACTTATACCCTCGAAAACCAGAGTCCGAAATTGATAAAACAGCTGTTTTTGGTAGCCATGGTTATGTCTAAAAGACCTTTAGTTTGATAGTTTAAACTCATAACTGTTCAAATTTAATAATGCTCCACAAATTGAAAAGAAAGAAGAAGACATAATTCAGAGAAGCTGTAAAACAATGTTTATAATCGATACTGAGCGACAACTGAAGGTGAAGTGAAAATCTGTATCAAAGAAGAACTCGAAACAGTTGTCTCTGGGTTACAGGCCTGATAGTGTACAAATCCAGCCATAAAACTCATCTGAAGACCTGACTTTAGTTAAAGGACAACTGTTCGAATCCTACCGTGGCTTAGCTTTTCATGTTACCTTTAATGATAACCCAGTAACAATCATACAAGTCTGCTAAATCACAAGTGCCTCAAATTAAAAGAATTCATATTCCCAGTCACTGGAAACAAATAGCAGTTCAGTATTTAATAAGAGGTTAGAATTACATTGATATCACGATACTATGGAGGAGAATAGAAAACAAAAAGGCCAGATAATAATCTATGAAATGATAACAGCATTGAATGAGACATGGAATCTGGCAAAACATGAAATGTTTGTCACTGTAAAATATGATAGATGAGTATCTTGTTGATAGATAAAAAAATGAGAAGAAACAAATCGAAATCATATTGACGTGTAAATAGCATTGCAATTATGAACAAAGTCAGAATTAGACAAAAGGGTGGAACCACAGATTAAGCATTTTTCTGCCGCACTCAACGATTAAACTTGAGCTGAAAGTTGATACTGCGTTTAGCGCACATAAATGGAGCAATCATACGATTTTGAACTACTTGGCTTGACTTTGTAAACGGCTGATTCCAAGAAAATCTTGATTTTAGAACTAACTGAAGGATATATAGTAGAACTGTTATTTTATTCATAGCATCTTCCTCACTTCCAAACTTTGAGATGAGTTTGAGCGAAGCACACATCTACACAACCAAGATTTCTAGTCAGCTAAAAAGAAAAGAAAGTTGTAGGTGTACTATGATGTAGCTCAAGGTGGTAACTTATTCTTAACATACAGACATATCGTAAGAAAACGATATAAATAAACGCTATATAATGCCCTCATAGAAGAGATAGGTAGTCACTACTTCTATATCTTCACTTTCTAACGTCGCTCACTTTTGACAGTTTTGAAATCTTAGGAAACCGCTTAATATATTGTTTAGATATCTCCGAACAAATCAACAGGTGCAACTTTTGTGAGTGATTACTTTTCAAAGCCTAACCAGTTGATTATCCATTTTATTTTCAGTGTCAATCAATATCTAAGGCAATTAATAATTAAGGTTTCTTTTATGCTTCTATGAACTTTCACTTTGACAGTTTGGGGATCATCTATTTCATCTTGAATTCCTATAAACCTCTCTCCTCTTCTTCTTAGAAACTCAAGAAAATGAAAATGAAGTTGGTTTTACTTTTCAGTCCTATATTTAACAACTAACTGCAATTAATAAGTGTTCAAAGTATATTCTGTAGAACGTTGTTTTCATCAAAGATTTTGACTGCATCGACCACATATCTCTTACATACTTAATGTCCATAAAACATAGGACGTAATACAATGATCACAAAGTCTAATGTGGAGCGGTCTATTTGTAAGGTACTAGAAGTGACTCAACACCTTTATCTGAAGAAATAACTGTTGAGTGAGAAATGAAAGCTGAAAGTACAACGTAGATTTAGGTCAATATCCAAGATGTTGGCGTCAATAAGGTCGCAAAGAAAGTCTATTTTTCCTGTAGGCGATATATCGGTACAGCATGACACAACACTGATATTCTATAGTGGTTTGATGAAGTAAAATGAATATAGCATATAGTGTCCATTATTATGGCTTCAGAGTGATTGGAGGATTTCAACAGTCTATTATTGACAAGTCTCAGTGAGCATAGATTAGACTTGGTTTGCAATTGTTTAACAAAGTATATTAAAACTAGAAGGAAATAAGGTCACATATAATCTTTGTTATTTGCTGCTATCAATAAATTAAATGTGAAATAAAATAAAAATCTTGATATTTATGTAAGCAAACATCTACATAAAGAAAAACAGACGGGAAAGAAAATTAAATTGGGCTAATTCATACCACAATTAATGTACATGGAAGAATAATACTTTCTGGGTTTGCTACATATAATTCATGTTCGCGTTTCGACCGGTTCAACCGGTTTTGCACCATGTCATCTTTAATTCTCACATACCAATTCCACTTATCTTGCTGTTTCTAAGCGGTATACTTCATGCTTCTCGTTGCTGCTCGAGGTGACTGTTAAAAGCTTCATAAATTCCGTCCTTCTCTTTCTTTTGAAAGATAAGATCAGAGTTACTCGGCCATTTTTAACACGCGAATAAACTATCTTAGTCGATAAGCGGTAGATATAAGACTAGATTTACCTTACAAACGTAGTTAACGAGAATGAACAGCAGGATCGGTAACTCAGTGGATAATTCACACTTGAATAGTGCATTGAAAGCACCACTTACAAATTTTCTGCCTTTTTGGTTATGGATAATCATTTGGCACAGTCGTATAGTAGAAGAGGTTAGGCATCTGAATGTTAAGTGCCTCACAGGCAACTTAACAAATCAAACAAGTTTTTAGTACCTGTGCCAGCATCAAAAGACCTCAAGATTAGTCAGTTTTGAAGGCTAGATGGCCTTTTTAAGGATTGTGTTAATACGCTGCTAAATTTCACAACTACACATAGCCGGAATATGTTTTGTAACTAACAGCCCACTCTATCTTTCTCGTTCAAGTATGCTTCTTTGAATTGTCATATTTTAAACAAATTCACAGATTCAAGAGTTCGTTAAAATATCATTGTTGTAATAGCACCAACAGATCAGGGAAGTCATAGTGGAGTTGAGATGGAGTAAAATTCGAAGACTAGAAAGTTGATCTAAAATGATCAACCCTCATTTTCAGATGAAGCAGTAATACTTACAACTAATTGTGGCCTAGGTGTTGTCTATGGTGACCTTATTCTGCTTTTTTAATAAATTGTGCCGCTTACCTTGAGAAAAAGCATACAGTTGGCGTAGAAGTGCCAGCTGTTTACACTTCCTACTGCAGCATAATCTGAAGACATTGAAAATAGACAATGGTTGCCACAGTAGTTCATTTATATTAATCTATCCGTCATCTTCAACTTTGTAATTTCAAAAGATTTTTTGCTTTTCTAATCTGAGACTGCATTCGTTCAGTGTATTTCTGAGGATTGTTAGTTGCCTAGAGAGTACTTATCTTTTGGTCCAGTGCCTACAAGATTCCAAGCAGATCGTCTTCAAAAATGACAGGAAACTGCTGCTTATTACCCAATGGCAATATCTCACCACTGGCCTAATAATCCCAGAAATGAGAAAATGCACGTCATACTGTTTTCAAAGATACAGACTATTTTTGAAACTAACAGACACAAAGCTAAATTTCACCTAAATGCTGTATTTTTGTCCTCCTGTAACCAACAATAGTCATTATAGCACTCCTTCATACAATTCGAAATGGTTTGTCCTCTCGTGCATTTTGAAGTTAGATTTCTAACCTGCAGAAAATTTGCAGGTAAGTTTTGGCTACATTTGGATTTACTGAACCTATATATGAGAAGTAAATACTTTTTCCTATTAGGGTTTGTCGATTGTCGAGTAATGTATCCAAGTGTGATATTTACTTCACTATAACACCGGATATCAATGAATTTACTGGAATAAGTAAAATACCCATTTCTAATGACTTCTTTGGTTGATCTATTATCGCCCGGTTTGTATGAAATCAGGAAAGGTGCCCAGGAAAAAAAGCTAAAAATTGTTTATATGATTAGAGTTAAACAAAAAGGACAGTTTCAGGTGAAATATTTGATCACAAATCATTTAGGTGAAAATATTTATCATAAACTTACAGCGACCAGCTGCTGATAGACTTTTATCTATCCTGTAGGTATGGTGTTCCACGACGGTGGTTAGAAGAGTGTAAGTTTTTTAATGACCGCGAGTACCTAGGAGAAAAAACAGCCAGAGAAAAACGTAAGCCACTTACTCGGCAAGTACACAGGATGTATTTGCATATAATAATAGAAGATAGTCTACAAATGGTAGTAATTCGGAACGAAAAAATAAGGCAGAATGGCAACTGAAACCAGAAAGTGGGTCAGTAAGATTTCAAATTCATCATGAACTAATGAAAATTGTCGAAAATTTACATCAATCATTAGTATGTAATTGTACTAATAGGAATGACCAGGGTTAGGTGAAAAATATAATTTTTAAATAATTTTATTTAACATACAGGGATGTTCGTTATTCAGTATCATCCTTATTGATGATAGCATAAAAATAAATGAATTTTTGCTAAAGGATATAAATAACCTTTACATCAAAGTGAATTGCCTAATTTTTTCCCCACCTAATTGCTTGACTGTGGTTTTGTAGGATATTTGTGCGCCGATAAACGAAGGCTGACTACAGCAAGATAGAATTTGTTGAATTCCCTTTTCTATCAACTTTAAACCAACAGTGATGCAAGGACATGGCCTATAAATGGCAGATACTAAAAGAGAATGAATAAATAAACTCAGTCAAACTAGATAAATGTCATACAGGGTGAGGTAAGGAATGTTCATGAACGACTGAAATACTATTAGAAATGAGTAGAAGCAATGATGCAAACTTGAGAAAAATTATCTGAATAGAATGATGAGTGGATAATAAAACTATCGTAATAATGACAGATACGGCAATGTCATACATTTAGTTTCTT